CCAAAGTATGACATTCCCATTATTCACCATTAAGAAATCATAGAATTTTTGCATAAATTATGCAAAGTAGGTCATCATTTGCATAATTAGTATCTGTTGATGTTCTGCCTGCCATAGGTTACATACATTACATGTATGAAAGTAGTATAATGTAAAACACTGTAATCATAGAATTTCCTCATTAATTATGCAAATAAAGTCCTCATTTGCATAATTTGCATTTAATCATGTACATCTCTCTCTCAGCTACCTACACACCAAACATTATGAAAATATGTTGTTCCTATCTGGACTTATTGGCTTTTAAACATTTCGCCAGAAAGTGCCATGCAGTTCCAGAACAAGCTGCTAGGGGGACCAAACTCACACCACTTATTCCTGACAGGAAAACCAATCTGTCACCAAAACATCAAGACCACAGCATGTTCAGGACAAAAGATACAAAAACCGGAAGTTCTGCTGCAGTACCAAGGTCATCCACCAGGAGGCCCATATTTGACCTTGACGTTTGTCTTCCTAAGACTTACCAACATACGAAATATCATCATAATCCATAAAGGCGTTCTGAAGTTATGCTGACCACAAAGTTGCGGAAACACACACAGACATACATACATACATACATACAGACAGACGCCGCCGAAAACAATACCTCCATTTTTCATGGAGGTAACAACAGCGACCTTCAGACAGCAGAGCACCAGGGCAGAGGCAGAGGGTAGCGTCGCGTACGAGAGTTCCGCTCGGCCTTTCGAGGATATCCCAGGGCCGAAGGGTCTACCCCTCATCGGGACGGCGTGGGACTACTCTCCTTTTGGTACGCCATGGTAAGGAAACACCGACCTAATTTTATGGGTGATCATGACATCCGCGCGCGCATTTATTTTCGCCTGTTCTCCAAAAAAAAAAACAAGAAGCCATAGGCGACAATTCTCCGTGAAGTATTATATATTGCAACAAAAAGAAGTAGCCATTGGCGACAATTCTCTGTGAAGAAAATAAATCGAACAAAGAAAAATTGTTTAAACGCGCGTCGGCTCAGTCATCTTAAGTCGCAACAACCAATCAGAGATGCGAAATGCCGACACGTGACGCGGGATTTGGGGAAGGGCGCGCGATGCCCGAAATATTTTTGCGTCAATATTCAGCGCCGTGTTTCAAGAGATTAATACCGAGAAACAAATTCTTTTCTTGTTTTGAACGCATAAACATGCATTTCCGCTAATCTAGTATGATTCAGGGTTACTTTTTTTTACCTGCCATGGCCAGATTATCTAAAGATGTGTGTATTGTGTGTACAATCTACAGAAAGAGAAATGTACATCAGGTCTGATCATCCGATTTTCACGTTTCGGTTTTTTGGACTCGGTTCATGAACGTATTTTGGTTTGGCTCCTGGAATGTGCGAAAAAATGACTCCGGGGACTGTCTACAGGGAACACTCGCACATTCGCGGTGTATCAGGACAGCGCGACTGGTCGGCATTAGCGCAGTCCCTGCAATTAGTAACAGTTGCACATCAATCCGGCCGAAAGCATGATTGTGTTACACAGGCTACTTCTTCATATACCGGCTCATACTACAAGACGCCTTTACAACTAGCAAATCATAAAATTACCCGATCTACTAGTACTGTATGTGCGGTTTACCAGCCCCAGACCACATCTGACCACGAGGCAGAACACATTGATGGGTTGCTCAAAAATATTGTCCATGTTTACAAAGAGCTGCTCCACTAACACTATGGAGCGGCCCAACCCAAAAATATTGGCCATGTATCGTTGCTAGGACGACCGGCCAGTTGCTACGTGACTAAATACACGCCGCCACTAGGTCGCCACACCCGACCAGTTTGAAATCGATAGGATTACGTTATCGGTATTAACATTTCCTAATGTTGACCATCAGCCCCGCCGCGACTTACTACCGGTGACATAAACGGACGACAACATTTCAACGGCATGGGGATGTTTCGAAAATAACCATTTACTCCAATATCAAAACAGCTACGGTAAAAATAAAAAAACGTGCATCATCCCGGACATAATGCAACACCACATGCGAAATTACACAGAAATGCGACGTACGGAAGAATGCGTTTTGGCTGCGAACATCTTCCAAAAAACTTGGCATCTCTTAACCATGGGCAAAAACATCTGGAACCACTTATCAAAACCACCCCGTATCTGCATGAACTTTTACCCCCCCCACTGCTATTCCAAACAACGCGTTTTTCTGGACCATTCCAATTCGCCTCGTAATTGTAGGGGTGCGTCTGCGATATTACATTGACCGCGAAAGCGCAACGGCAAAAATACACATTCGTGCATCAACACGGGCATGCCCGCAGACGGCGTATAAAAGTGCGTGCCGATTACACAAAGAGAACCCAGTGTTTTGACTGCGAACATGAAAAATCAGCCGATCACAACACTCCGTCCGGAGGTCCTGACCTCCTTCACGGAGTAATAAACAATAATA